TGAGGGAGGAGCTGTGGTGGCGATGATGGAAAGCATTCTTCATGGTGTTCTTTATAATAGGATTGATACCTGCTCAAATCGATGAGAAATTATTAGATGATTTTGGTCTATTTGACACTTGGTGGACTAATTTAATGAAAATTCTCTGATCATGAAATTTTGTAATTTATTAATACACTCTTGTTGGGTCATTTTATCAACCCGAAAGTCTGTATTTAAGTGATCCACTAAGTGTCAAATAAACCAAAACCATTTAATAATTTCTCTAAATTGAGTGGAGTTTGTTCCTTATGTAACACATCTTGGTTCTTTAAAAAATAAAATTTTGAAGGTTCTTTCTTAGGCTAACCATCTACTCTAATATTTATATACTTTAAGTATAATGATTTAAAATTTGAAATAATTCCTGCTCATTTATGTGAATAAGAACGATATCAGTCCATACTCCAATTCAACTTCAAATACTTTCAATTCACTGCATCCAAGCCAAGTCCTATTCCTTAAAAATGTTGCTTATATAACATGTTTATCATCCATTACATCAACGACTTGTAGTTGATTCTCCATTTTATATTTATTTATGTCATATCATATTTTGTCATAATAAAATTGGGTAAAGGGCGAGAAACTCCCCTATAATTTCAAAAGTTTACAAATAACATTTCTCATGTTTAAATTTCATCCTGGTTGAATGTATAGTGTGCAAACAAAGGCCTATTGTCAGATTTTAATATAAAAGGGTAAAAAGATAAAATACCCACTAACTTACTAAAGAAAAATAAAATAAAATAAAAAATTTTAAAGGTGAAATTACTGAAAAGGACAAATAAAAAAGCTTTGAATTCCATTATAAGCAAATGTTGAACCTCCTCAAACAAACCCTTTCTTCGCACCCACTTGACCCCTGGACTCCCTGTGACCCATACCTGGCTCTTCCCTCCCTAGGTTGTGTTCGGGCCATGAGGTATGCCCCATGTTTTTATGTAATTATTATTATTTTCTTCTATACGCATATCCACACTTATTGAAAAAAATAAAAAAAATTTAACGTCAAATTATATTATTATAATAAAATCAAAGCAAACAAATTTAAAAATAGTTTAAAATAAAATCATACTAACTAGTCAAATATGAAGATTTAATTTGATTAGTTTCGGTAAGAGAATGGAAAGTTTGGCCGAATCATATGATATACTTTAAATGAATCTTAATTTGTTAAATACATGAATTATTAGAATAAAATAAAATAAAAAAATGAAATAACGTTCCTGCACGTTTAAATTACTGATATCCATACTTGTATAGATAAAATAAATTAAAAAATGATGCATTATTAGACTGTATGTGCCTATACACTGCATACTTTGACATTATAACGTTCCTGCACGTTTAAATTACTGTGAGATTGTTGTTCAACTGACTTTAATAACATAATAAAAAAATTAAATAATATATTTAAAGTCCCAAAACTATTCATAATTTCTCTTCCATAAACAAATTGCTCCCAAAACTATTCATAATTTCTCTTGCATAAACAAATTGCTCAATTTATTAGAATGATAATAAGATGCTTCATTTTCATTTGATTTTGAACTACTCAACTGATGGACGTTTGATTCTTATTTTGAATTGATATTTTTAATATGACAATGATAAATTAATGGTGAATGTTTACGTTAATGTAATTAATGGTAATAGGACATATAATTCATTACAAGAATTGTTTGGGGTGGCTGGTATTAATACAATTCATATGGGGTCGCTCTATATACGAAAGGAATGGCAATGTCTCCTTCTTACCCTAGTTACAAAGCGTAAAAAAAGCATCTAGATGATCGGTTATCACATTCGTATATAGTACTTTCAGTTCACACCTCATATACTAAAATTTTCCCATTTACAACCTTTCACGCCATGGCTTAAAGCTATGGACACTAATTTTCACCTTTTATAGACTTTCACCTCTACCACGGACTATTAAAATATGGACTATTAAAATACATTAAGATGGTTGGTCAATGAACTCTTTCTAGAATTCTTTACTAAAGCATCCTAGATATTTAAATTATTTACAAACTCTCTTGTATTCTAGAATTCTTCAATCTCACACAAGTAATACATAATTTTGGATGAACACAAAATCTAGCAAGTGCTTGTTATTTGCTTGAATGGTTGCATGGCACATTATCGGTGACATTCTATATCGCTTAGGGGAGAGGTTTGTTGAGACTTGTATGTTTGAAACCATGTAGACATTCACCATCGTGAGCATTGAGAGGAATGTGTGTTAGCTGTACAGTGCTGGACACGTAAGACATTTTTCAACCCGATCTTAATTAGGATTGGACTTGGATTGAGTTGCCCTCAGTCCAAGCCCAACCCAAACCTGTATTCCAATATTATTTATATATATATTTTTCTTAAATAATTTAAATTGTGATCACCTTTTGCTTTTTAACTTCTTTGGTTTAAATCTTAGTTTATAGCATGTTAATAATCAATTTCCTAGGAAATGTATTGGAAATTTTTAGAAATTTACATTAAGCATTTAAAATTTTTTGTGCTTCTGATACAAAACTAACTCATGATCACACAAAAATTTTATTCTAAGCCTGGTTACATGACTTTCTAACTCGAAATATCAAGTCAAGTTGTAAACTCGAATTTAAAAGTTTAAGAATGAATTGGACTCTCATTGAGTAGTGTTAGAGGTCGGGTTAGGATTAAAAATTTCATATGTCAAGTTGGGCCTGAGTTGTACCTTCAACCCACCAAACCTGCCTGAGTTGTAGCCCTAGGTTGGTTATTCTCCAATGACCATTACATTTTACCATTCATTTCGCCGTACATGAAAGAGTTGAAACGAGGGGGGGACTTGGGTGGTGGGTCTAACCTGAACAATTCAATTTTCGCCTAAAAATTATATGGTGGTGGACAAGGTATTTGAGATCATGGAATGTGATTGTGTTTAAACTTTAGATACCAAATTTATTTTGGATGGAAGATTTTACTAACGCATGAAACTCGAGGACCGAAATATAAGGACAGTGTTTCTCTTATATTTAAAAGGTTATACGTATTTATGCAAACTAAAGTTAAAATTAAATATTTATACTATCATCAACTGGATTCATTGGGTATTCATCCAACTTTGACACGCTTAGTTCAAAGTTTTGAAGTAAAAAAGATAAAATAATAAAATTTTAGCTAAGGAAAAATAATAATAAATAAAATAAGATTTTTAGTTATATATTTTAACATTTTATTTTATTTTTGGTTATAAAAATTTAGGATGACCTGACAAATCCGAAAAACTCATGCAATAAGGTGCGGGCAACATTTATTGTATGTCATATCACATTTGACATAACAAAATTAATTTGGACGGTTTTGGATAGAGATTTTAGATAATGGACAAGGCACTAGTACTGCAGTGGGGCTCTAAATGCATAGACATTTCATGACCATCCTGTGGCTCTATGCAAGCACAAGTATATACGTGTTCCAAAGCATTTCAAGTCCCAACCACCAACACAGTGATTCACACAAATCATAACCATATGTATTTGGGACTTTTTCAAGACATTAGTGACCACAAAGGTCACCCACAACATTGAACCCTTAGACAGGTCATTTTGCGTTTAGGCTCGAGTAGGAGCGGATTTACATATTTTCTGGTTCATGATCGGATCCTATCGATTCGGATTGTGACATGAACATTGATTTATTGTGATGTTAACGTTATATGTCATAAACTTTGTATGGAGCAGAGTCCATATGGCAGGTGACGGATGTTACGGATGTTGGGGGCTCGCGGGACCACCGGCTGCCATTGTGACACGGACGAGACGCATGTGGGCCGGTGGCTGCCTCTTGGGTGGCCTTGGAGTGTTGCCTGAGCCACAGGATGTCCATGTGACACGCTCTGTTCTTCACCTCACCATGCATATATATATATATATGTATGTATGTATGTAGCTACATGAATTTATAGTAGTTGGCCATCTGCATATCTATCTCTTTGGGATTAACATGTCTCTGTCACACGATAAACATCAAGCAAAGTTGTCCACAACAATTGCGTAGAGAAGTGAACAATTTAAAAATTAAGTGTAGAGCTCTGTTGTTAAGCCATAAATGAGCTAGAATAATTGAATTTTAATGGTGGTTGGTGATGTAACTACCATACTCAATTGTATAATATAATGGATTATTAAACTGTAACAATAGTTAATATTTCATGTTGACCATTATAGTACAACCCTTATTTAATATCATACCTTTAGCTTATTGGGAATAAAAAATTACTAACTCCTTTTTTAATATTTTGGCAGAGTATAGAAACTTTGATATAATATATTTTGTTTTTGTTTTTTTGTTTTTAACCCCTTTCCAATGATGATTGTTAATGATGTTTAAAGACTTTTTAAAAAAAATATGTCAATTTTATTCTTGCGTGTCGGATTGTGTTGACCGGGACGATGTAATGATTGTAATCCCATGCCATTTAATAATTTCATAAGACACCCATAATAAGACTCACTTCCATTTGGAATCTTCTCACCTGTATCCTAGTGTCCTCACACATGAAACAATATTCTCTCACATTTGACTCTCCCAGCTTTTACTACCAAATTCCATTTTTACTGGAAGGAAAGAGCAAGCAAAAGATTGGCATGTTTAAAATGAGGTGACTTTGGAATCAAATTTCAGCTTATTATGCTGTTGAAAGTTGTATAAAAGCATGGCAACATTTAGCTTTATTTAAGAGGTTGGGATCCAAAGATTGACATTGGTTTTGTTATGAAAAATTGAAATACTAAGGATTTTAATAAAAAGGAGAAGTGAAGTGGTGGGAGAAGGATATGGTGCTCAGAATAAGCATTCTTTTTTATAACCCTAATTGTGATTAGGTGGGATCAGGTACCCCTAATCAGAATTTTCAAGGCACCCCTTTTCTCCTCTACTTGATTATAAAGTTTCATCCCCATATGTCATGTCTCTCAATTATAAAGAAACAAAAAGGCATCCAACACATAACTCGCTTTCATTTGGAATCTTCCCATCTGCTTCGTAGTGTCCTTTGCCACACACAAGCACTTCATGAACCTCCCAAGCCCACATAACATGAACCATTCTATCTCATCTCTCTATCCTTCTTTTTACCATCTTTGATCTTGGTTCTTGAGGAAGGAAGGATTACAAGTGCATGGAAATCCCCAAATTCAGGTAACTAATTAATCCATAGCTCAAACATTAGTCCACCCCTCTCCTGCCTTATCATACACATATAAATATAAATATATATATATATATATATATATATATATATATATATATATATATTGTTGCCCTTATCTAGTTGGAATCATCTGAAAGACTTTATATTATAGCTCAAAAGATCACCCATCTCCTCCTTTAGTTTGAAACAGATCAAAGGGAGTCAAAAAGAGAAGCAGCACAAGCCTACACCTCTATGCTGTCCTTCTATTTTTATCCAACACTGAAAGACATTACCATAGCATAAAAAGATCACCCATCTCCTCCTTTATTTGAAAAACAGAAACCAAAAGAGGAAAGCGGAAGACCACACCTCTTTACTCTTCCTTCTAGCTATTCCCTCCCTTAACTATCAAAACCCCACAAGTCTAATCTTCAAATTCCACTACCAACCTTGGAAAGTCATCCTATATCAAAACAGGGGGCAATAAACAACAGAAGGATTTGTGGGTATATGAGTGAGATGAATTCTCTACTTTCCATCTCGTTTGTGGTCCGATTTGTGGTTGAATTGCTTTGGAACAACGAAATCTCAAGCTTGTATGCATAATCATTATCAGAAGAGAGATCAGAGGCTTTTGTTGTTTTATATCCTAGTGATCTTTGTTGTTTGTGAAGGAGTGAATTACTCCAAGCTATGGTTAATCTTCATCACAGTCCACACCGCCTACTCCTTGAGAGAGAACCAAGCCCACCGCCTACAAATGGAAGCAGACCGCGCAGCTCTTTCGCCAATGAAGCAAATTTCGACACCAACATGGTCATCATCCTAGCAGCCTTGCTCTGTGCACTGATATGTGCACTTGGGATAAACTCAATTGTGCGTTGCGCCTTGAGATGTAGCCATAGGTTGGCTTTTGAGACAAGGGACGAGGCAGCAGCGCGCCTAGCTGCAACAGGACTGAAGAAGAGCGCGCTGAGACAGATTCCAGTGGCTGTTTATGGTGCAGGAATTAGTATTCCCGCGACAGATTGTCCAATATGTCTTGGTGAATTTATGGAGGGTGAGAAGGTCAGAGTCCTACCAAAGTGTCACCATGGTTTTCATATGAGGTGTATAGATATATGGTTGGCTTCACATTCGTCGTGTCCAACTTGCCGGCAGTCATTGCTTGAGCAACCAGCAGCATGTTCTGATGCAGCAGATTTGGAAGCTGGATCGAGGCAACCTGGAAATGCATCAGGACGACATGGTGATGCCCCAGGGTCTGGTGAAGAGGTGGGTTAATCTCAGTTTGAACATATTCACTTTAAAGAGAGGAAAAAAAAGAGAGGATGTTCTTTTAGATTTATTTTTCAAATTTTTTGAGTTTTCAGTTTGTTTATGAAATCAAGCATGGACAATTATATAATAGCTTATTCAATGCAAAACCAATGGATGTTTCTACTGCAATAAAGTATGCTTAGTAGAAAAGAGTCCGTAAATCATTTATTTAGAAATGTATATCAAACACATATCCACTTTTTTTCTGGTTGAGTATTCAATTCCTTTTTGAGTTATTATGTTGGGAAAGTTGGTCACCAATTTTCCTAGAACCAAAAACAAAGTAGGTTCAGTTTTAATCTTTAGGAAATAGGATGGACCTTTTGCAACAGTGAGCAGACTAATTTACTTTTACTATGAGTTTTTTTTCCTGGTTAATGCATCCTAAAGAAATAGAATGATTTTTTGAATCCAAGCCTTCCCGGTTTAGGTCCTTCCATGGGCATCTTTTATAGTACGAAGTGCATTATCAGAGTTATAATAGGGGCTTCCATATAGCTGTCTTGTTGGAAGTTCAGTTCCAAAGGTTCTGATTCCATGAATTAGCTGCAGATGAATGTGTAAGGAAGCAAAACAGCTCTAGTCATTGCAATTTAGAAGTCCCATCTCCGACCCATATGGGGCCTTCGACTGAGAATCCACCAAGCTGCAGTGCACTAGAGTCATATCAGGTCATGCTGATACCATAGCAACTCTCGTTACTTGCATCCACAATATTCTCTAATGGGAATCACTTTGCTAACTTTCACAAAGATCATAGTTTTCATTTATGAAGTTGTGGCCCGAAGATCGCGTTGAGATCTGATTTAGACTTGGAAAATGGGTTTTTTTGACCTGTTTTTCTCTTGGGGATCGTGGACTCGGTTTTAGGACTCTGTTATAACCTAGTTGTAAAGGGGTTTAGGGTTTGGAGTGTGGTATGAGAGGACACTAAAAGACGCAGTTTAGAGAATGAGAGAGTTTGGGGGCTAAAACTTGTAATCTCACCTAACCACATATGTGTGGTTTTTTCTTTGATTTGTTCTTAGTTTGTGGCATTCGTAGTAACATCATTTTTCTTTTCCCTTCCTAAAGAGGAATAATGTTTGGTTTGTGTTTTTTTTTTTTCGGTGATTATTCTAGTTTTGGACATGAACCCAAAAAATTTCAGTCCTTTTCTTTGTTTCAAGTGAATCATAGGAGCTTGTTTATTTGTAGATTAAAAAGAAAAGTAGAAGCAAAAGATGATAGTAACAGAAACATTTGTCAATCACTTCATTTGGCATTGGAAGAGTAATAATCTATAGTTCCACTTTTCTGCCCCCTGTGATTTGATGGGCATGTGGATTAGAAGCATATAGGACACAAGGAATCTATCTTATTGTGCTCATAGAATGGAATCTCAAACCCTCTTTTTCCCTCTTCTTTTCTCTCTCTTTTACCATTGTGGCTTGCCAGGCCCACACTTATAGAAAATTTATTCATTCATTCACTACCTGCAATTCATGGACTATGTGAAGAGGACTGTGTGTTGTGTGTGATTGGGACCTATTGCAAAGCATCATTCATAATTGGACCACGGGCTTCGTACCTCAGGCTGGTTGATATCTATCTTTCAGATTTTCTTCGATTGGAAAAGATTGTCCAAAAGAATTTTAAGTGAGCAACTGATCAACGTTGATGATGACTTGTCACAAGGAAGTCATCTTTTGATCTCTATTCACAATATGCCCACTAAAAAATGTTATTGTGCCACTATGGTTACATCTTGCAAGGACACATCTAAGTACCATTATGGTACAGGATTTGACACAAATGCACTTGTTCAAAGGTTGAAACCTAGGTATTGTTTCAAGCTTGGTCTTTGGTGATTAGTTGGTGACTTTAGTGTCAATAACTTGGCTAGTTGAGTACTGTATTGGTAGTATATAACCGCAAAATCTGAATTTTGAAGCTTTCACTGATGTGGGTATGTTTGGCCCTTGAATGGTCTCTCAAGGTGGTTGCTGAAATTTTTATTAGAAAGTGAACAGATCTCACTTTTAGGGGTGTGTGTGTTGTGTATGTGTGTTTAACCATCCTTGGCATATTCAATTTATAGGCACTTGTTCCATTCCATGCTGAGAAGTGATTGAGAGAGGGTAGGCAAGAGGGTTCACTGTATTTTATTGCTAGGGCAATAGAACTCTTGAGACAAACTTTCAATGGGGCTCACAAACCATGACAAACATTAAAGCCCAGACTTGGATTACAAGTGTTATTACATTCACTTAGATAACTCAGCAGAGAGGGTGTTTGCCACGGATGAGATGGTTGTAGGAGACACTCCCCTGGTTCCACCAAGGTACCATTTCTGGATCATCTCTACGACGTTCCCATTCTCCACTTTGATCTTCGACTCTTCTTTCCCCTCACTCGTGAAGCCAATCTGTGAACAGTCGGTGAAAAAAATTCTAGTATTAGCGCACACAATTAGCTCGAAGCACTAGTAGCTAAAACATCTAACAGTGCATAATTTACGTTCCTCTAATTGAACCGTGCTTGAAAACAAGCTAAATATCAATGGAAATTTAACTATCATTTTGTGAAATGTACTTCAGTTAGCTAAATTATTTTAGATCTTGCTAATTAGTAGTTACCTCTGCGGTGGCAGAGCCTGCAGGGAAACTAAATGTTATGACGGAGTCTTTCTTGAAGTATTTGGACTGGAAGAACTCGACAACTAGCTCCAGGGCTGCTTCCTCCTCGTCTTCATATTTATCAACAGCTGCCAACCGGTCCCTCACAGCGCTCTCTAGCTGCACGCCGTACTGTGAGCCTTTGATCTCCTTGATCACCACAATTCTCACAAGCTTCTCCACTGGGGCTGCACATTTGCATTTAAACAAGTACAACAACAAAAATATTACTAAAATTTAACAGAACCATATGGTAAAATTTGTATCAAAACAACTTATGCTGATAAATTTATACATGATGACACCAAACAACAATAGAAACCTTGCTTAAGGGAAACTATAATTCGATTAAAGTGGTAGAAGCTCGTGCTGCTAGCTGTGAAGATGCGACAAGAACCACACGGTGCAATGAATGTTTATAAAATGTGAAAAGCCTTAAAGTTCCCATTTGGATTGAGTATTTGAAGTGAATAGATTGAGGTTCAATTATTTCATGAGCAAAATTTGAGTTTAGATTTAAGTTTTATTTAACAATGGATTGACTTGAGAAACCTATATGTATGGACTTCAAATACATGTTGGTACTGCAAGAATTGCAAGAAGATGTCCTGCATTATTGCATATCTCCAACAGACATTCTCATGGGCTTCCGAATCCAATTTTAGTAGCCAAACCCTAATTCAAACTCAAATCTATTCATTTCAAATCCACTGATTTATCCAAATGTAGCATAAGATTTTTTTATGATCAATCTTGTTCCAATAGAGATATTGTTACAACAAACGCCCCTACTAAGGTTAGGGCCCTAACCCTAGTATACAGTATACAATATTCTCTAACAGCCCCGAACAAAAAACACGACAGAAAGTAAACAAGTAGCACACAAAATACAAAAGATATATATGATTCGACCTCACATAAAGCAAAAATCAGGCTACAACTTCACGCACTTTATCAAACGCGTAATGATAGTTCTTTCCCAAGAAATAGATGCATAGTTTTGAATTTAGAAGAAATAAAATGCTTATACCAGAAATAAGAGCCTCAAAGAAGTCATCATCTTCAGCTAGCTCAGCTCCTGTTTTACCCTTCCATTTCTGTAAATGTCCCACAACCTCAGGATCCAAGTAAACTCCAATTGCTGTGAACTTAATTTGGAGAAAGTGTATCTCAATGTCTGTAATTCCTGTTATGCCCCCAGCCACCCAATTCATTCATTAGTCAACAACACCACATACAACATTAAATCATCCCAAAATTCACACTACCAATAATCTACTCCCCATTACAAATTAGATAGGAAAAACAGAATTGTCTTATAGACAATAAGTAATTTACTCATCTAGTATGTGTGTGTGTGTATATATATATATAAGTGAATCAATTTTGGCTACCACTTATTGAATTAGACCATATAAATATGTCATGCATGTAAAATGGCTTACCATGACCCAATATTGGCAATGGCTTGGTTACTGTGACCTGTGGAGGGAAAGGAATCTCATCCACCATTACCACTTCAGTTCCCACTGCACAACATGGACAAAAAAGCAAAAGGGTCCGTTTGGTTATGCGAAAACTAACAGTGAAAAAGTAAAAGTGAAAAAAAATGAAACGATGAGAAGGAAGATTAATTTTTTAGCATGTATTTTGTTATCATGAAAAAATTTCTTCTAAACAAACAAAGCCAAAGCGTATGCAATAAGTGTGTGATATTAAAAAAATTATTATACAAGATATTTAGTTGTTTTCTCAAATTAAAGTGACTTCTAAATTGTTCTATACCAACATGGAAGCAACAAAAATAACACTAACGCTATCCTGTATTAACTATATGTTGTGTTAAATTCTCATCCATAAACAATCAGAAAGGAAAATCAAATTTTTAGCATGCATTTTGTTATCATAAAAAATTTTCTTCTAAACAAACAAAGCGAAGCGAATGCAATAAGTGTGTGATATTAAAAAAATTATTATACAAGATATTTAGTTATTTTCTCAGTTTTTCCAAATGAAAGTGTCTTCTAAATTGTTCTATAAAGCAACAAAAACAACACTGCTATCCTGTATTAACTATATATTGTGTTAAATTCTCATCCTTAAACAATCAGAAACGATTTAGAACATAAATCTATATATCTATACATATATACACACAGAGAGAAAGTGAGCTTACTATTAAAATTGACGGAGAGTTAATCTTGGGGCAGACCGCGGGGACAAAGAAATAGAGAGAGTTGAGGAATGAGAAAGTGGGGGCGTATTTCTCACTCTATATGATGAGGAGGGTGTGTATTATTTTAGCTACCACTCAATGAGTCTTTCAGTCTTGGCATGGGAGGGTTGGTAGAGAAAGTTGTGATATGTCACATTTCTTCCAACTGTCTTGCTGAGTTCCCACTTCCAATTATAGCCCTTGATAATCCCTGGAATTTCATATTTGCCCTTATAGTTCTACTCATAAATTTTCAGTTTCATCACACCAAGATGACATTTCCAGATGACATTTCCTTATTTCTCGCTTAGATGTTTCAAAATTTTCCTTTTAGGTTATGTTTGGTTTGATAAAAATTAATAGTGAAAAAAATAAAATAAATAAAAAGAAAATAAATTATTTATCGTATACTTGTTTAAGATAATATTTTTCAAAAAATAATAAAAAATTATTATTTTATAGTTTAATAACATGAAAGGTATTATTGTAAGTTTATAAAAAAAATTCAAGAAATCAAAATTTTATTGTGTTTTTGTGGAGATGATTTTAAGAGAAAGTTAGGTGATTATGAAAAATAATTTTCTTTCAAAATTTTACTTTTTGTCCTAACCAAATTTCTAAAATGTTTTAAAAAAAATAATTTCTTTTATTTTTTTGTAATTTTTATCTAACAAACAGAGCCTTAAGATGTCTTACGTTTCTCATAGTGTAAGTAGAATCTCCGCATAAAAAGTAATTGATTAATGTTTTGATTCTTTTTAACCGATTATCAATGTTACAAAAATATTTTGGAAATTAATAATGAAATGAAATTAATATGTCATTCTGCAATTAGTTTGATTAGTGGCTAATTAGTTGCACACGAGGTAGGTTGTGTAACCACCACACGTTTTACCTACCCTTTATTATGTTTCTTGGATTGACACGTACCTACCCATTACCCATATGTTATATCTACTTCTATTACACAGTAGGTAGACATGAATACATGATTGATTTAAATCAGATATTATCGTGATAAAGTTTGCTACGGGTCCTTGGGTTGACATAAATCTTACAATTAATTGGAAATTATGTTTGAAATAAAAGCTAACAATCTAACACTTTTTTTTTTTTTTTTGACAAGCTAACACCAATGTCACCATGTGTTCTTTATAATTTTCATAAACTCACTTTAATATGGACCAATTATATTATGAATTTATGACATTTTTTTTTTTTTTTTTTTATCCTAATAATTAGAAAAACAGCCATACGGCATCTACAAAAAGCGCCATAAATGGCCGTACAAAGACAAACAAATCGTGAAGTAATAGAATAAAACGAAAGAACGGACTCCAGATTTGCTGAGAAATAACGCACCAGCGGAAACCACCAAGGGAGAAAAGCAGCAACGGGAGTAACTCACAGGTCAGGCCATCGTTAAGGTAATTGCTCCAACGATACATCCACAAGGCGCTACTGACGGGGAAGAAACCCCCCAAACCCCGCACAAGAGGCAAGAACAACAAAACCCACACAGAGGCGAGAACAAAAAAACCTAACATAGATCGGAGATCTAGTTGGAAAACAAAAGGCAGATCTACCCTGTCAAGCCAGAAACAAGCCTAACAAGAGCAGATCTGACAAAACAACAACAAAACGGCGTAAAAAACTCACCCACCGAGCGACTATGTACAACATGCAGAGTTTATTACGCGGTGGGAGGCGAGGATCGGCACCTCCCCACCCTATGGGAGGGGTGGGGAACAAAACAGGGGAAGAACGAAGGGGGCGGCTGGGGTTAGAGAGAGGCAAGAGAAAAGTTGTAGCGAAAGAAAGTTTTTTCCTATGTTTATGACATCATGAGGGTACTTTTCACTATGTTTGAGAGAAATGTGTCTGTGTGTGTGTGTGTATTCAACTTATCTATGAACCTGATACTCAAAAGGGTTAAGTGCAAAAAAACCCCCTCTACTATCGATATAGTGCAAAATGATCCATGTATAGGAAAAAAAAAAATCCTATACTATCAATTTAGTGCAAATAGGTCCCTCTGTAGTATAAAATGACGATAATACCCTCACTTCAGTTGAATAAATTAATAACTATAAATTTAAGCCATGTAAAATGACCCTTTTATCCCAACCACCACCTAAACCTAATTTCCCTCAACCCAAACATAGTCTTATGCCCATATGTCACTGTTCATCTTTTTCAACGCGCATAATGTCACAGCCCAAACAGGCAAACGCCCAACCCATCTACAGAAGCTATTAACAAACCTCCATTAACTTCTTTCTTTCATCTCTATGCCAAATGGTTCTAGTACTGCTGCCAACAAGACGAGGTTGCCAACGGCCTCCCCACCCGACATCGCCTCCACCTCTTCGATTTCATGCTCGACCATGTAGAATTAACCTCCACCGCCGCCCTTAGCCGCGATCTCGATCCCTCAGTCTTCAAATCAATACCCATATTAGAATCAATCCCAAATCATTCAAAGATGGATTGGAATGTGGTTTCAATCCCATTCCACTTGCCCTCTCTGTTTCAAAGCAAGTAGGGGAGTTGACGGCGGTACTCCGCCTGTTTCTTCTCACTTACTCCCTTCGATTGCTCCGCCTTTTCTTAAAATATCCGCGAAGTCCTCGCCACCAAAACCGGTTTCGTTAGAAGGATGCGAGGTTGGAGAGAGAAGGTAAGGGGCCAGAGAACTGGTTTCGTTGGAGAAATATAGTTTTGAGGTGAGAGAGCCGGTTGAGATCGGAGGGTAATAATTCATAGTAGAGATATTTGGAGGAGAGGTTGATGTTAGAGACTCGGCCGGAGGAGTCGCAGGAGACTCCGGTCCACTTGCAGTGGTTGGAGCTGGACGGCGTTGGGGAGATGGTTTCTTGCCCCAATCCTAGAGCCATCATTAAGACATTACAGAGATAAGAGAGAAAAAGAGCCAACAACGCAAAAATTAAACGTGATCAAAACCACATTTTGATAGCAGAATAAGGTCCACAAAACCAAGACGAACACGATGTTAAGAATAAAAGCCACAGACGACGTTACATACGCCTACACGCTCCACCTGAAATTCAGCACGTAGATTTTACGCGTTGTCATGCGCCCCACGTGTCTTCTCCGGTGAAAATTTGATTTCGGCAAAATTTCTAGCGAGAATCCGGTCACATCTCCGGTGAGCCGAGTCGTTCAGCCAGTACCAGCCGAGCCAAGCCATATAAGGGGGTTATATGCACTTATGAATGGGGAAAAATAGGAATTAAAAGGGTAAAATAGGGTTTTCATATTTAGTTTTTGTCAAAAAGTAGTCAAATGAGCTTATTTGCACCTTTTATGAATTTTATGGACTAAACATGCACATTTTCAAAAAGTATGGACTAGTTTTGCACAAACACTATATATCAAGGGGGGTTTTTTGCACTTTACCCTACTCAAAATGGTTTAAGAAAAAAAAAAAAAAAAAGGATAAATTTGTAATTTAGATGACTGAGTAATGGTGGGTCCTCCGTTTCTGGAGGAATAATGGTAATACTAGAAAATAAAAGTGAGATTGAAAGAAAATGGAGTTGAGGGAAGAAAAATATATTTTTTAGGATTCATTTATTTAGCATAAAAAATTTTCAAGAAAATTATAGGAAAGTCTCATTTTATAGTTTGGATAGCAGGAAAGTTAGTAGAAAATATATTGATTAACCCAAATTGTCCATATATATCTTTATTAAATATGATAATTGGTCTAAATAAATTTATATTTAATAAAAATAATTTTAAAAAACAATAAAAGCAATATAAGAATCAAAATAAATAAATAAATAAATTTGTGGAACACCTAGATAGAGATAGAAATTATGATACTATTCTTATCAAAATTATGCATAAATACATTTTATTTTAGAAAGTAAAAAAGGGGATATAATTGAAATTTCTTACGGAGTATATTTTTCTTAAGAAAGCAAAATTTTCTTGTATTTTTTTTAATGAAAAATTAGGTGGTTATGAAAAGTTACTTTCTCACAATTTTTGTTATTTCATGCCATCCAAACTCTTAAAAACAAAAATTCATTTTTTATTCTTTTTTCCTGGCTTAATTGCTTCCCAGAACTAGTTTACAAGTGAAACTCTCACACCATACACACTCTCAGGATCTCTGGAAGAAATTGCTTGCAACACAAATTAACTTTTAATAAACAGATAATAGTCTAATAGAAGACTCGTTTCTCATATATCATTATCGATAACAACATATATTAGTCAATAATTCAATTTATAATCTAATCAACCAAAACATCACTTAATTATTATTCACCCGGGCTCATTTGTGAGCCAAACCTTATACACAACCTGTTCCGAATTCACGGCAAACAATATACCACATTCCATGTCACGACCTAAAAATTCCAATAAAATCCTCGATTTATAATACATCAAAATACACCTAAGATCACAAAAAAAAATTGCCCTCTCTTTTATACAAAATCAATTTCCTCAAATATATAAAAAAATTCTCCAAATAAATAAATAAATCCTGCAACGCCGACTCTTCAGCCTAAGCCCGAATCTAGCAATCCCTGTTCATCTTCAGTACCTGAAACTGGAGGGTGGTGAGACAAAAAGTCCCAGTAGGAAAAACCAAAACAAGAATTTCATGGAGGTTTGATAAAACAGCATCACAAAATATACATATTCATATGAATATATAAACAAAATAAATATGCATTTAATCAAAACATTTAATAAAACCATTTGAAGCAAAACCACTCCAAGCCATTCAAGGTATAGAGAACCCTATACTTAAAAAGAATTTGTCCTCGTTGGATCATCAAGACCTCAAGCATCGGCCTCCTTTCCTCTGCAAACTCTCAGCTCTCACACACTGTCATCTCTTTCAACTCACTCTGTATCTTTTCTCTCTCTAATTTTTTCTTCTGTTTTCCACATACCCATACACATACACCGTCAACTTATAATAGCCTCCACCGACTCAAACCATACAGCCCACCCCTGCTTTCTTTTCATTCATCAAACCCACACCACAAAATAATTAGGCCACGTGAATTAAAAAAAAAAACAAGTCAAAAGAGTCTTGCCCAAGCCAAAGGATTTTGGCCACAAAAGTCTATTCGTG